TCCTCTCTCTCTCTCTCTCCCCCCCGTCCCCAACCTCCTCTCCCCCCTCAGTGTGTGTGATGATGATGATGATGTGTGTGTGTGTGTGTGTGTGTGTGTGTGTTCATGTTCACTGTACAGAACTCGACAAAGAAAGCATGACTGTGCCAGACGGTTTTGTTGGACTCATCAGGAGGTTGAACCGCGGCAGTGTGCCCAGGTGCATTTGACTGATGAATAAATACTCGCCACGCCACCAAAGTTAGTGATGCATGCCCGGAGTGAGACGTCGGCAATGCAACGTCCGAGAATCGTCAACATGGGGGAGGGACACGATGTAACAAAGTGAAGACTCAGATCAGACTCGAATTGACGAGGTGCCACACCCATGAGCTTGGACTGAGCAGCGAGATGTCCATACATGGAAGACACCACCCTGCACATTATACACGGCGAAGGGAGGTGTGAGGAGGCAGAGGAGGAACAGAAGAAGACAAAGAAGAAGAAAACATGCAACAGTAGCCTCTCGCGGTCCGAACGGACGAACCTGTGCCCGTTTGCACAAAACAATGACACAACACAATCTGGACAAGGACAACATGAACTGGCACAGGACAAAACGGAACCTACACCATCAAAATACGCATCAATCAAGATATCAATAAAATAAATTAAAAAACAAACTCAGGAGTCAGAACCGACAAATACCCTGCAGCCATTCCAGAGCCATTGATTGCAGAGGACCAAGATCATTTACCTGTGTCCCCAAATATCTTAGTGGTTCCCCCTTTGTTCTGCCACATCCTTCCTTCTGTGGAGTAGCTTCTGTTTGTAGTTCGGGTCCTTCAGGGTCTGTTAACCACCACCCAAGTGTTTTATTGAATTTATTCGAAAAGACTAGGAGACGTGGTTTGAAGGTCCTGCTGGTTTTGCTCCGGTTATGGTTATGGGTTGAAGTATGTTTCTTTCAAAGGGTGGAAGTGCTAGCGGGAGGGGCTATGCTCAAGAGAATGGTCTTGACTGGCAGTTAATCCTACCCGGAGGGAAGCAATCAATGCTGTCAGGCTTACCCAGGCCGTAATGTGTGGGGGGGGGGAAGCGTGAAGTGGAGTTGTAAATTTTGTCATTGACTTGCCGGTGGAAAAGGAACTGGACTGACACTCCCCAGAATAGGAGCTGGCTCGTTTTCCAAAAAAAAAAAAAAAAAAAAAAAAAGGAATTAAAAAAAAAAAGAAGAATATGTTGCTATGTTGCTAAGTTGTGCTAACTGAAATGCTTGCATGACTCTAGTCAAAGCTTGAAAAACGGAATCTAAGGGTTGACTAAAAAAGGCATACTCACAGCAGGACTTTTTTTTAATGTATTTATGGGCATGATTGTGGTCAGATTCCTCCAGGTCCGGCCATAAATGTGGTTAGATACATCTAAGACACAGGTAGTGTGCGTACGCCCATCGCCAACAAAGAAGATTGCGGTGGGAATGTGAATAATGTGTCCATTATGGTCTGTTATGGTTACCAAATAGTACCAATCTTTCAATAGACGGATTCTTTCTAAGGAAGGAGGCTATTGCTTTCATAATGGATAAAAAAAATAGTGCTGCTAATGGATCCCCTTGCCTAACTGATCTGGACATCTTGAAAGGGGTAGAGAGGAATCCATTAACCAAACCTGACCATGACCACCATTATATAAAATTGTAATGTGTAACACATTTCCGGAAGATCCGGAAGACCGGACCTACTCCCATTTTCTCCAAAAAACAAAATAGCAGCATTCATTTTTTAAGACATTCATATGTAGAACCGGATCTAAGATAAAACAGACCGCAATAAAAACCCGTTTGATAAATATCAAAGCGATTGCAATGAACCCAGTCAGGAGAGAAGCTCGTCAAGGACAAGATACAGTATGTCTCACTCAGCGCAGTTTCAATGTCTCCAAAATAGGCGTACACATCATCAAGCAGCCCAAATGTCTGGTCACCAGAGAAGAGGATGGTAGGAGGGAGATGAGACTTGAGACTTGAGACTTGGAAGGTGGAAGAGAAATCATCAGCATAGCAGATAGATCTCCCTCAACAACCCCCTTCCTCTTTGGGCATCTCCCTTTGCCACATCAGCAGACGGTCTCCTCTGACACAATCTGACAAAGAGCAGGTATCCCCATAGCGCTTGTCAGCGCAGACACCTCCTGAAGACGAACAGCAGCGCGCATTGTCGACACGTACGCAAACAGATAAGCTTCCCTTTCGATCAACCAATCTCACAGCCCTTATCCTCCTCCTCCTCGCCAATGTCCAATCACTGTCATAGACAGTGTGGCTCAAGCCACTTCAGCATAGTCTAGAATCCAGCTGGCGCCATAGACAGAGAAGGTGCCAGCGTTTATCAATAGCAGTCTCGAGTCATCATCGTCCAATATCAAGCCAGCATAGAGCCAGCAACGAGCCAACGCAGTGCCAGCGTCCAACCAGCGTAGAGCTAGCGTCAAGCCAGCGTCGAGCAGCAAGTGCAAGACTGAATGTCGGTCAGCAGGGGCTTGGTCAACGTATAGTGTTGACTCCGGTTGACCAGCCTCTGGTCTCTCGAATATGATGGCCCAGATTGACCCGCAGTCAATGGCCTGGATCTCATACAGTTGCAGATTCCCACTTGGACTGGATTCTTGACAGATACCTGCTGCAAACAGCCAAGTGTGTGTGTCTGATCTGTGGCCTGGGATGGGTCCATGTTGACATTAACTCGTGAGCCTCTATATTCCGAGGTGCTGTTGACCTTTGACTTTCCACGGTCAACTGTCACATGTAGGGCCTCTGAAGCCCAGTTTTAGGCCACGGTTCGGGTACCCACAGCAGCAGGCCTTGTTTCAGGCAATTTCCATGACTCGGGTGCGGCCGTTGGCCTCCAATTCGGCCCTTAGTCCGAAATGAAGACCTAGGGCTCATGACTATTGCATGATTCGAGCTGAGTTATTGCACAACGCTTAGTCGATATTTTGAATTCTATTAGCTTGTAATTTTGGCTGAAATCTTAGAAATAAGTTCTGGTAATAAAGTAATAAAGTAATTGGCTAGGATACCAGCCGGGCCGCCCGGGTCCCGGGTGGCCAGCCCGTGCAAGGACCAGGGAAGGTCCCAGCAAAAAAAAAAAAAAAAAAAAAAAAAGATCCGAAAAAAAACTATGTTATGCGGAAAAATAAACTGAACAACTTTTGCCTCAGGGTCACATCGAAATTCTTCACCAAATTTAGGAAAAAAAATATAATTTAAAAATATTTTTTTATTTTGTATTTTTTTTGGACTGGCCGGGCAAGTGACCCCGGGCCACTCTGGTAGCCTAGGTAATTGGCCTATAATCCCTAATGTTAGTCAGGTCCCCTTTCTTGTACAGAAGGGTGACTATCGCTGTACTTGATGATACCCCTAATTAATGACTATGATCCGGACGTCGGGACTGCCATCCGGACGGTCCAGTTCCCAACATGCCTCCAGATGTTCGGTCTGGAAGGTCCAGATCGAGGCCAAATTAAAAGAAAAAGAAAAAAAGAAGTGGGTTGGCCAGCAGGACCCTTCCCAACATCAATGCCGACCCCCCAAAATTGTTTGGGTGAGTTTTCAGGCGCTTTCTTTATTTTTTTGGGGGGGGGCCGGAAATGGGCAAAAGTGAGCTTGTGTGAGAGTATGTTTTTTTTTTTTTTCCCCCGGAATCTTTCTGTGCATTTTTCTTCAGTATATTATCTATTATTAAGTACAGTTAGGTCTGTTAGCCCCTGTGTGTTTGGATTTTATGTTGTTACTTTTGAAGTTTTGATGTATTGCCTTGGGTACTGGGCCCTGCGTTTTCTTTTTACAGGGTTTCATTTGCGGTGTGGACATTTCCTGACGTCCCAGACAGTCCGGACTGTCTGGACCTCAGCACGTCCAGATGTCTGGAAATGTCTGGAATCGGGTCGTCTGGACGGGTCCAGACATGCGTCCGGTTGGAACGTATCCGGGTCCAGGTCTGGCGTAGCCATGCTCTACTTCTTCTTCTTCTTCTTCTTCTTCTTTTTATAAATAAGGCTAATTGAGCCTAATTCTTTAAGCCCATCCAATTCAATTACCTGTCAAATCTGGATAGGACGGCCTTTCAGGCCTTGTTGATTGTCATTAATCTCATTATAGTATTACGGGGAACCCCGTAGCAGCCACATCCGTGCTCAAGCCTCCAATGAAGGAACATGCGGGAGCTGCCCCACCAGCAGGTGCGATACTGGCGAGGGGTTATCCGGTAGCATCAGGACCGAGCTTCTTCGATGGGCCAGTCACTGTGCCACCCCTCCGGTCCCCTCCCCCTCTGAGCACGAGAAGTCTCTGCTCAATGCCACTCGGGGGGACCAACATCATATCTCTAGGTGGCGGGACCAAGCTTTCCCAGGAAGGTACATGAGGCCAATGGGGGATTGACCCCAAGACCTCCTGAATGCCACTTGCGTGCCTTACCAACTGCGCTAGGCCGCTGGATATGCCTTAATTCTTCATCCCTCTCTGCTATCCTAAGAAAATGAAAAAAACTTTCTTTGCCTAAAACTGGCTAGAAAGTTTGCCAAAATCCCTTTGGCAGCTCATCTCTTCCTGGTGTTTTATTAGGTTTTGGCGTAACACGAGTGCTTTCGATATTTCCTCCCTCGTAATTGGTCCATAAAATATCTTTGCCTTCTCTTGTGAAATACTTTTTGTCTAAATAGTATAAGAATTTTGATATTGCTTCCTCAACTATTGTTTGAGGTAACTCTTCCTGCTTTGATGTGTATAGATCATCTACCTGTCTCTTCTTTGCCACAGAGAGAGAGAGCAGCACTCGCTACAAATGCAGAATCAAAAACATGAAAACGAATCGACTGTGCAACACCATTTAGCACTGATGGACAGATTACTGCGCGACAAAGAGGAGCTGACGGCCAAATGCGGTCAATTGACACATGATATAAGGATGGCAGAAATCAAGGTGGGTCTCTTTTTTTGGCCAGATTCCCATCATCTCTCTTCATGTGATTGTTACGCTGTTAGCATCAATTCTGTTGCTCTCTCTCTCTCTCTCTCTCTCTCTCTCTCTCTCTCTCTCTCTCTCTCTCTCTCT